AGATTAAGATTGAGAACATGTGCTTGATTTGGGGTCATCCACACACCAAGAGATCTCTGGCTATGGGGAACTGAATCCATAGTTCCTGCAGTGGTGGAATTCAAAATTTGTTTACTATCATTTCTGTGGGTGTGGCATGGCTTGGTGGGCGTGACAGGGGAAGGTTACTGCAAAATCCCCATTCCCTTCCCACTCCAGGGAAAGGATATTGCAAAATCTTCATTCCATCCCCACTCCAGGGGAAGGATACTGCAAAATCCCCATTCCCTGCTATCGGTTCTCCAGAACTGGTCAGAACCTGCTGAATACGATCCCTGGCTTCCTGGCCTGGTTCTAACCTCTGAACATTACTACCAAAGCAGAAGGGGACGGTAGATAGAATAACCCACCTGTAGTAGTCCTCGACTTACAACAGTTCATTTAGTGACCATTCAAACTTACAACGTCACTGAAAAAAGTGACTTATGACCATTTTCACAATTATAACCCTTGCAGCATCCCTGTGGTCATGTGATCAAAATTCAAAGGCTTGGCAACTGACTGGTATTTATGACGGTTGCGTTTCTCCCGGGGGTCCTATGATCCCCTTTTGCGACCTTCTGACAGAGTCAATGGGGAAGTCAGATTCACTTAATGATGGTATTACTAATGTAGCATCTACAGTGATTCACATCACGACGGTGTCAAAAAAAATCGTAAAGTTGGGATCCGATTGTGGCGGTTAGTCGAGGACTTACCAGTATATAATCATGATTGGATTTTGCCAGCAAAGCTGCGATTCCCTTCCCCTCCTATTCATCAGCTTTGAGGGGCGCAACCCAATCTCCCACCTTTTACTGAGTTTTGCTTTTCAGGAAAAGGAATAAAATAGATTTTTGTCACCAAGGGTTAATAACAGGGACCTTCATCATTACATTAAAAAGAGAAATCATTACTTATTGCCAGACTTCCTCGGTGGTGAAAGACAGATGATAATTTATTCATGTAAAAATTGCTTTGAGACTTCCTGAAGTCGGTGAGAGACGGGTGGTTGCCACAGACCTTGCCAACTTGTTTACGTCGGGACAAGATGCGTTCAAATTAAACGCCTTTATAAAGTTCCTTGATCAAATTTAAATAAGAAAAGTCTCCAATCCTTTAAATGTGCAAAGGCATCAGCAATATACTGAATACTAGTAGCTGGATACCCGTGCTTTGCTACGAAACTATACAAGAGAAATCCGGTTCACTCTGGTTCAAACCGTTGGCTGAGTGGTGGTCGGTGATTGAAACGCATAAGGGAATATCGCTCCCATCGCCTTGAGTCCGGAAGCAGTTCCATAGGTGGAAGGCGTAGACATGTTAGTACTGTAAGGAGCCCCAGACCACTCCTTCGTGAAGGAGTGGAACGTCTGCCAGTTTGAACTGAGGTAACGGAATGTGAGGCAACCGGCAGTTGGAACAGAGTTCTTTCAGGTGGGGAGGGAGAGTAGAACATCTAACACCTTAGAATCAGAGCGTGTTAATTACTGTATAAGAAATACTAATGACCCGATGGTCATTTCGAAAAATCCTTTCTTAGCGAGCACCTAGAAGCCAAGAGGAACATATGCAGTTCTGGAGATTTCGTGACGAGTGAGTGGTATTTGGCTTACCACTCACTCGTCACGAAATCTCATATGTATATATGTATGTATGTATGTGTATGTGTATATGTATATATGTATATATATGTATGTATGTAAAAAAAAAATCTAATAGATACCTTTCACCCAGGCTTCGCTGATAATGGATAAGAGCCTGTGGCCTAATGGCTAAGATGTCTGCCTAGTATGTAATATAGCCCAGGTTCAAATCCCAGTAAGGGTATGGCTAGCTGATGAGAGCTAAATAGCTTGAAATAGATCTATACTAGTCTCCTTTTATCTATTTATCAGCACAAATACAACATACATACATACGTACGTACGTACGTACGTGGAGAATTTCAATTGCTAAGCAGGATGACTGTTAAGTGAGTTGCATCTGATTTTATGACCATTTTTGCCACGGTTGGTAAGTGAATCATTGCAGTCGTTATGTAAATCACGCAGTCATTAAGCCCATCTGGATTTCCACCATTGACTTGGTGGAAATCAAGATGGGCTGGAAGCCAACTGAGAGGGGTCAAAAGTGTTGATCGTCTGACCCAGGGGATGTTACAACCGTCATAAGTATGAGTCAATTGCCAAGCGCCTGAATTTTGATCAAAGGATCACAGGGACGCTGCAATGGTCCATGAGTGCAGGGACTAGTTGTCCATCATTTTTTCCAGCCCCGTTGTAGCTCCAAGCAGTCATTGAGATAATGGTCCTTAGTCAAGGACTATCTGTAACATACTGAACAGGGTGTGCTCAGACAACTCATTAAACCTCCAGGAACCTATGCAAGGTTAACGCCAATCAAACTTTCATGTTACGCATATACACATACCATCTTCAAAATTTTAACAGATTTGGTTTATGGCGCTCTCTGGTTGCTTTCTTGTAGACATCTCATTACCTGACTGAGTAACATCATCAGTGCCAGAAGAGAGTGGGGCTTGGACTCTGTTTGTACAGACTTCCTCACCAGTAATCAATAGCCCGATAAGCCGAGATTGACAGGATTCACACTAAAACCACAACCCAGCTTTAAACATCACTCTAATCAGAGAACTACCAACTCAGACAAACAAGCTAACAGAAAACAACAGCTTATTCAAGGAACCACCAAGAATACTCCCACCCTACACTGGCAGGGAAAGCCACTTGTATAAACAAAGAGTAAGCCCTACTCCCTTCTAGCACTGATGGTGTTACTTAGTTGGGTAATAAAATGTCTGCAGCAAAACAAGCAAACTCAGAGAGCACCAAGGAGCATAGACTCCAGCTCTTCCTCCACCCCTCTTCCTTCTTTCTACAAACCCCACTCCCTTATAAACTGATGATGTTCCCTAATAGGGTAATGAAACGTCTGCAAGAAAACTAGCAAGCTCAGAGAGCACCAAGGACCCCACAGTCACCCCACTCCCTTTTAAAGTGATAATGTTCCCTAGTTGGGTGATGAAACATCTGCAGCAAAACAGCCAAGCTCAGAGGTGGACGCCACAGTTCAACCCTGAGCTACAAATCGTGTCTTCTTTTTGAGATCTGGTTCAACGGAGTCAACCTTGAGCAAAGGAACTTAATGACAGTTAAGTGAGACAGGTGGCATGTTACCAACTTTCAATGATTAAATTCTGGGCCTTGGATAGTGTTTGGCTAGGTGTATTCATCTACTGGAATCCCCCTATTGCAGTATTATTATACTTCTATAATAACATCAAGCTTCATATCTATCTATCTATCTATCTATCTATCTATCTATCTATCTATCTATCTATCTACTGAATCTATCTCTATCTATCTATCTATCTATCTATCTACTGAATCTATATCTATCTATCTATCTATCTATCTATCTATCTATCTATCTATCTATCTATCTACTGAATCTATCTCTATCTATCTATCTATATCTATCTATCTATCTACTGAATCTATCTCTATCTATCTATCTATTTATCTATCTATCTATCTATCTATCTATCTATCTACTGAATCTATCTATCTATCTATCTATCTACTGAATCTATCTCTATCTATCTATCTATATCTCTATCTATCTATCAATCATCTATCTATCAATCATCTATCTATCTATCTATCTGCTCTATCTATCTATCTATCTATCTATCTATCTATC